CAGGACGCCGACGACGACACGCCCGCAGCCATTGTCCACAAAGAGCACTGCGCGGAGTGTAAACAGGGCGGAGAACTCGTGCTCTGCGACTACTGTCCGCGCGCTTACCATAAGGTGTGTGTCGACGGCCTGACGGAAGTGCCGGACGACTGGACGTGTCCGCACTGCGAGAAGAACGGCAAACCCGAGAAGCCGGCGCCCAAAGCGGCCAAACGTAAGACAAGCGTTACGGAGAAGAAAGTGGTGGCGAAGAAGGCGCCCGCGAAGGCCGCCCAACCCATCGAGAATCAGGACTACTGCGAGATCTGTAACCAATGCGGCGAACTCTTGCTGTGCGACACCTGTCCGCGAGCCTATCATCTCGTATGCATGGACTCCGATAAGACAGTTCCGGCCGGTGTGTGGAGTTGTCCGCATTGCGAAGAGTACGGCTACGAAGTGAACGACGCGCCCGAACCGGAAGGGCCGCCCGAAAAGGCCGAAAAGATTGTCTGCAAGGGTTGCAAACAGCCGGGAGAGGACATAATCTTCTGCGCCACGTGTCCGTCGCGCTATCATCCCGGATGTATTAACCCGCCATTGGATGAGATACCGGACGAGTGGCAGTGCGCGCCGTGCAGTGCCGAACCCCTGGACGGCAAAGTGCAACGCGTCCTCACCTGGCGATGGAAGGCGAAGGACGAGAGCGCCGACGCGGACGACAAGCCCAAGAAACGCGTGAGACGTGAGCGCGAGTTCTTCGTCAAGTGGAAGGACCGGTCGTATTGGCACTGCTCGTGGATACAGGAGCTGCAGCTCCAAGTGTTTCACTCGTTTATGTGGCGGACGTACACCACTCGCAACGACATGACTACTCCGCCGCCCTATGAAGAGGGCTATCAAGAGGTGCCCACCGCTAAAGAGGGCGAAGACGAGGCCAACGGCGAGCCCACAGCCGCCACTGGTATGCGTCGGCGTCGCAACCGGTACTCCAATAACGACGCGAATCTCGTGGAACAGTACCTGCGGTACGGCATACGACCCGATTGGCTGCAAATACACCGAGTGCTCAGCCATCGGAAACAGAGGGGAAAAATCAATTATACGATCAAATGGCGCGAACTGTCGTACGAAGAGGTGACGGTGGAGTACGAGCCCGACCACTGCCCCTTCGATATTCCCGATTACGCCAAGAAAGTGCAGGACTATTGGGATCTCAGGGAACTCGTCGAAGAGGAGGGAAAGGCCGAGAAGAGGAGTCGCGAGAAAGAAGACAAACGCAAGTCTAAAGACAAGGAGTCCAAGAAGAAGGGCAACAAAAAGTACGACCCGAAGAAGAAGTGGGAGAAGCAGCCGGAGTTCATACCGGAGCCCCTGGAACTGCACCCCTACCAGTTGGAAGGCGTCAATTGGTTGCGCTATTCGTGGGCTAATAAAACCGATACCATTCTGGCCGATGAGATGGGCTTAGGAAAGACCATTCAGACGATTGTGTTTCTATACTCACTGTACAAAGAGGGTCACCTGAGAGGTCCGTTCCTCATAACAGCCCCTCTCTCGACAATTATCAATTGGGAGCGAGAGTTGGAGGACTGGGCGCCGGACTTCTATGTCGTGAACTACACGGGAAACAAAGACAGCCGTATTGTGATCCGAGAGCACGAGTTGAGCTTTGACGCGGACGCCGTCCGGTCGGCCACCAAAGCGACTAAAATGCGTAAACACGTGACGCCTAAGTTTCACGTGTTGCTCACGTCCTACGAGTTGATTAACATGGACTCAGCGCTCTTGGGCTCAATCGACTGGAAAGTGCTGGTCGTAGACGAAGCGCATCGACTCAAAAGTAATCAGTCCCTCTTTTTCCGTACACTCAACGCCTATCACGTCGACCATAAGCTACTGTTGACCGGAACACCGCTTCAGAACAATCTCGAAGAGCTGTTCAATTTGCTTAACTTCTTGAGTCCGCACCGATTTGAGTAAGTATTGAGTTTTTGATTGATTTGATTGACTGTTAAGTTTGAAATGTCTAAATGTTGTGTGTATTGTGTGGTAACAGCGATATGGAGGGCTTCCTCAACGAGTTCGCCGACATCGCCAAAGAAGAACAGGTGAAGAAACTGCACGACATGTTGGGTCCGCATCTCTTGCGTCGACTCAAAGCCGATGTACTGAAGAACATGCCGTCGAAGAGCGAGTTCTTGGTTCGCGTCGATTTGGCGCCGCTTCAGAAGTATGTCTTTGTTTGTCATTTTGTTTGCCTTTATTTACTGATGTTTTTCTTAATTGAATAGAAAATACTATAAATTTGTTTTGACGCGAAATTTCGAGGCCCTGAACGTGAAGGGCGGCGGCAAACAGGTCTCACTATTGAATGTTGTGATGGACTTAAAGAAGTGCTGCAATCATCCCTATCTGTTCCCAACCGCCCAAACGGTATGAATACCCAAATTGTTGTATTGTTTTGTATTTAATAATTAACGCAATTCTTGGGGACCGATAGGAAGCGCCCAAAACCAAGTTTGGTTACTACGAGGGCAGTGCTCTCGTCAAGTCGTGCGGGAAACTAATTTTGCTGCAGAAAATGATGCGCAAACTGAAGAACGAGGGCCATCGGGTACTCATCTTCTCGCAGATGACACTTATGTTGGATCTGTTAGAAGACTTCTGCGAATTCGAGGGTTACAAATACGAACGCATCGACGGCTCGATTACCGGTTCCATACGTCAGGACTCTATCGATCGTTTTAACGCTCCCGGAGCTCAACAGTTTGTATTCTTGTTGTCGACCCGAGCGGGCGGTTTGGGCATCAATTTGGCCACCGCTGACACTGTCATTATCTATGACTCCGATTGGAATCCACACAACGATATACAGGCGCTGAGCAGAGCTCACCGCATAGGACAGGCCAACAAAGTGATGATCTATCGGTTCGTCACTCGCGGATCCGTTGAGGAGAGGATAACGCAAGTGGCGAAGAAGAAGATGATGTTAACACATCTGGTGGTGAGACCGGGAATGGGACAGAACAAGAATCAGGCGGCGATGTCTAAGCAAGAGTTGGACGACATTCATCCGTTGAGGAGAGGATAACGCAAGTGGCGAAGAAGAAGATGATGTTAACACATCTGGTGGTGAGACCGGGAATGGGACAGAACAAGAATCAGGCGGCGATGTCTAAGCAAGAGTTGGACGACATTCTCAAGTTCGGTACCGAAGAGCTGTTCAAAGAGGAAGAGGGCAAAGAAGATTCGGCCATTCATTACGACGACAAAGCCATCGATGAACTTCTCGACCGAACCCAAGAAGGCATTGAACAGAAGGAGATGTGGGCTAACGAGTACTTGGGGTCATTCAAAGTGGCCTCATATCAGACCAAAGAGGCAGAAGAGGTCGAAGAGGAGCCCAAACCCACCGAAGAACCCGACCCTCAATACTGGGAGAAACTGTTGGGTCACCACTATATCCAACACCAGGAGAACATCCAAAGAACTCTCGGCAAAGGCAAACGCGTCCGCAAACAAGTGAACTACAGTATAGGCGCCGAACAGACCGAATACAACAACAACAACGAGGGCTCCGAATCCAGTTCTGACTACTCTATGCCTTCCGGTATTTGCTCTCATTTGTACTCTTTTTATCGATTATATAATATTATTTTGTCATTTATTTTAGACATGAGTTCAAACGACGAGGACTTTGACCTGAAGGCAGAGGAAGGCGCCAGAGGTGTCAAACTTCGCCACAAACACGGCAGAGAGAAAATGCCGCCACTCGTCGCTCTTATCGGTGGTAACACTGAGGTATGCATTCAAACACATTGTCCATCAAATGGGAGTTTGTTTTTATTAAACCTCTTGCCATTGATTATTGACAAACAGGTGTTGGGCTTCACAGCGAAGCACCGGAAGGCGTACTTGGATGTGGTGATGCGGTTCGGTTTGCCCAATCAGGACCAGAACGTGACCGAAAGCCAGTGGTATATAAGGGATCTGAAGGGCAAGAGTGAGAAACACTTGCGCGCCTACACATCGCTATTCGTACAGCACCTGTGCGACGGCGGAGACCCTAATTCCAAGACATTCGACGACGGCGTCCCCAAAGAGGGCATTAATATAAGCCAAGTGTTGGCCCGAATCGGAATGGTTTCGCTGATCCGCAAGAAAGTGTTTGAATACGAGGGACGACACGGATTGGAGAGCATTCCGAAGCCCAAGAAGAAGGTTGTGGTGATTAACGAGACCTCCAAAGACTTCGTTGAATTCGAGGACAACAGTCAGAATGGCGTCACTGAGAAGATCACTACCGAAGACCAAAGCCTTGAACAAAAGGGCGACGAAACCAAACCCGATGTGAAGACTACTGACGAGACTTTAGACGACGTTAAGTCTGAAGAGAAAGAGACCGAACCGAAGGCCGAATCCGATAAACCAACTGAGAGTAACGGCGAAGAAGTGGTCGAAACAAAAGCCGAACCAAAGGTCACCGAATCTCAAGAACCCGATGAAGAGAAAAAGACTAACGGAGAGGACGTGAAAGACATTGAAATGAAAGACACGACGGAAGACGAGGTTAAGACTGAAGACAAAACTGAAGATAAGGCTGAAGAAGAAGACAAAAAAGTGGCTGAAAATAATGTGACAGAAAAAGAGGTTCCGATGGAAGTGACGGACAACGAAAAGACCACTCGTGTAGCGGCGATATGCGGACCAACTGTGACTGCATTCACGCAAACGAGTCATTAATCGGCCAAACATTGTGTCGTTTATCGGGTTTTATGCGTAAAATATAACACTTTTTTGATTGCAATTAACAAAACATTAAAACATTTCAAACACTAATTCAAAAGTTTTGGTTTTGTTGTCAAAAGTTTTGGCAATATTTGTAAACATGGGAGTCGTCCGCATATAACGTGACAAAAGTTTAGGGGCGAAGTGTGGGGGGGAAGGGGTGCTCTATATTGTGAGTGATTCGCCGCTTGTATTCAATTGTCAATCAAATCGATCGAAGTTTTCTCATTGAAGGGGCGTTTTGTGCTCGCAAAAAGCGTCACGTCTTATGTGAGCGACATTTGTATTGACTCTTAAGATAAGGCTCTCCGCCATAGAAGTGAATGGAAAACATCGATCGTTATTATGAACTAAACACTAATCGACTCAATCATTACATGCATTGGATTTAAACGATCATAACTTTTGACAAACTTTTTGTTAGTTTTGAACCATTTTTACGTTTAAAGTGTTTTGTGTTTCGGTCCCTAAGAGTGTCCGATGTCTTCTTCGGCGGTTAAGATGTCTGCAGACAAACGCAAAACGTTTTCCATTAAAGACAAGTACGACATCTTAATGAAGATCCGCAATGGCGTCAAACGGGATCAACTGTTGCGCGAGTATCGGCTCAAGAGTTACTCTCATTTGACACAACTGGTGAAGAATGAGAAGAAGATAATCACCAAATATGAGTCGACGAGTGGTAGAGACAGCGCGAAGACGTTTAGCGTACGGGAGGCCAAACACCCGAAGGTGGAGAACGCGCTGGTCATGTGGTTGAGCCAAATGGACACCACTTCCAGACACAAAGTCACGTGCGATGAGATCATAGCGAAGGCTCAAGAGTTCGCCGACAGTATGGGTATTGACTTTAAGCCAACCAATGGTTATCTCAATGGATTCAAGAGACGGCACGGACTGGAGCTCGACCTCAAACAGCGCGGCGTCGATACGGCCAGCGATTGGTCGCAACAGTTGAGTCAACAGACCAGCAATTATCTGCCCGAAGAGATCTATATGTTGTCCGAAACGGCCCTCTTTTATCGGGCGCTACCGTTTCGGACGAATCCTCATATCATTGGTCCGCTCTCTGCGAAGAAACTAAAGACACCGAAAGATCGGTTGACTCTCGTGTTGGTCACGAATGCCGACGGAAGCGATCGGATGTGTTCACTGATTGGCAAAACCAATAACCCAAGAGGGCTGAAGAGTATGACTGACTGTGAATTGGATTATTACTCTCAACCAAACGCCAGAATCGATGCCACCATTTATAAGAAGATTATTTGCCAATTGAATACCAAAATGAAAGATTTGAATAAAAGGATTGTATTATTTGTGAACAAATCCCGATCTCATTGCCAACAACTGGTCTTATCTAACATTAGTTTTAAGTACTTTCCGGCAAATGTTGAGATTCCGGTTCGTATTGACACCAATTTGTTGTCCTTTAAATCTATTAATCAATTATTTGATTCATTTATTCAGGACATCAACCGATGCTTTAAAATGCAATATAGAAAACAATTGATTGAGTTATTGATGGAGAGGCTGGAGTCGGGACTAGAAGTGACGGGCACTACATGTGATCTCACCATTTGTATGCGTTTGATTGACACATCCCTCAAGAGTATACCAGACGATGAGATAATGGACAGCTTCTGTTGCGCTAAATTCGATTTCATGGTTCACACGGCCGTCAAACTGGAGCCCATCGCCCGCGAAGACTATTCAGTTCTTTGGGAACAATTGAAAATTCTTGTCTCTGATCTTAAATACGATTCGTTTGACGATTTTGTAGCCATCGATGACGACGAGAGCGTTGAATTGGAAAATGAATTGTCTGATCAGCACATTATAGATCTCGTTATCAATACTTCAGACCGCGATTCAGAGTACGTGAACCTTATTTTACTATCATCTATAGTACAGTATTTCATCTCATTTTAATACAATTTCTTAAGTCATTATTAATTTATTATAAGAATTAAAATACATTTTGTTTAAACCCCAGTAAATCGCGTAAAACTAATGAGAATCAGAATGTCATCAAAAAGTCTGCAATCAGTTGTGCAGCAAATCTGGTCAAAGGTCTGAGTTGTGAGCGACAAAACCTGATGTAAGTTATCATATCATTGGACATAATATACAGACAATTAAACTAATTTAAATTGTGTTTTGCCAGCGAATTGGGAGCAAAGATATGTAGTGTCTTAACGCCAGACCTAAGGCATGTGCTCGCGTCGTAAGTCTTAAGATTAGATTTTCATTGAATTCAATAATCATTATATTAATTGTTGTCACGAATTCTCAGCGCAATTACCGGCGAATTGATCGACAAAAGCAAGAATAGCGACCACTCGGACGACGAAGACATTGGATACGAGCGACGGAGCCGTAAACGCAAAGCAACGCAATCCGCACACAATTCACAGCTATCACTGACACGAGTGGATGGGCCAGAATCGGCGCACCCGTGGCAGCTCATCACCTTTCAGTAGTCACTACCACTTCAATACATCCGACTAATTATTGTTCGAATTAATGCTTTCCAAATATTATTAATGTAATTAGTAGTCAATTGTGATTAAAATTATAATTTTACGGTATTATGTGTTGGGTCAAAATGCTTTCCCATAATTATTATTTTATAATAAATTTTTAATTAATTAATAACATATAGTTTATAAATATATTTAAATTTGAGAATCGTTTGTGACGTTTGTAGCAATTAATAAAATATAAAAATGGCTCATAATTTAAAATTCCCAAACTTTCTGTAAGAGTTGAGGAAAATTCTGTGTTCAAAACATTTCCAGAATATGACTGAATCTCAAAATACATTCATTTTAGGATAAAATTCAAACACTTTTTGCTATACAGTTAGAGTTGAGGAATATTTAGGGTTCAAAACATCCCCAGAATATGACTGAATCTAAAAAAGCATTTATTGTTTGTTTAAAATTAAACACTTTTTGCTGTACACTCAGAGTTGTGGAAAATTTAGAGTTTGAAACATTTCCAGAATATGGCTGAACCTAAAAAAGCATTCATTTTTAGTATAAAATTAAACACTTTTTGCTGTACACTCAGAGTTGTGGAAAATTTAGAGTTTAAAACATTTCCAGAATATGACTAAAGACACGAATTTTTGTGGAAGAATGCGATTTGTGTTTGATTTCTATAGAAACTTTCCACTATTTATGGAAATTATTTATTCAAAAAGTTTAAAAGTAACCAAAGATTGAAAGTTTTGTTTAAATTAATATGAATGGCAACCAATAATTAAGCACTTAATTAACACTTTTGCTATACAGCTAGAGTTGAGGAATATTTAGGTTTCAAAACATTCCCAGAATATGACTGAACCTCAAAATGCATTCATTTTTAGTTTAGTTTTAATTATGAAATTTTAAGATAAGAAACATTAAACAACAAATAGTCGTAAATATAAATATTTATTAATAATCCGATTACAGAATTGATTCGACAGATAAATGAATGATTTTTTGTTAATTAATTCAAATAATAATCAAATTTGAAACAAAATTAATTAATATTTTATAAATTATGTGATAAAAAGAGTGCAATAATTGTAAAAAAGTGTTTGGGTTTAAAACATATACTGAGTGGTGGATCGATAGCGTTCTCATCGGTGGTGTGACAGTAATGTTGTGTCCATTCATTGGAACATTTGTTGTCTCCTTTGGATCTGATGTCCCATTTGGGCGTAACTTCTTTGCGAAATCTGGAGCCGCTGTGCGATCGGCGGTATTCGTTGGACGGTCTGCGGAATGCGTCCGCAATCGCTCTTCATGTCAGTCATCAGCTCTTCGTAATGATTGATACACCGATGGAGAGTCGCGTTCATCGGTTTGTTCTCGTCGTTGGCCGTCTCCTCCTTCGAGTCCTGGCTCTCCTCTTCCTCGTCGTCGTCCGCCTCCTCTTTGCCGTCATTGTCGGCAATTCGGGCCAAATGTGCGGTACGTCTGAACTGTTCCTCGAAGACCAGCGCCTGTTCCAGGAGTCGGAGCCGTCTCTCCATAAACTTGTTCTTAATATTAGCCGTACTTTTGAAGGGTTCGACTAAAATACTGAAGTCCTCGTCGTTGTCGATGTCTTTCCAACGCTCGTAACCGTGTTTGACGAGCGCCGCCAACAGCCAGTAGTCGTGCCGTTTGTTCCAAATGCTCGCCTCTTTGCCCGGCTTTAGCTCCTGTTCCTCGAAAAACCAGAGCGTTTGCAACTCTGTTAGCCCGCCGTCGCGGATGTTGAACTCAAACCCAACCACTGTTTTGGGCTCTTCTTCTACTTCCGGTTCCACAATCTCTGGTAACACAACCTTTTGGTCGGTCTTTTCGTTGTCCGTCACTTCCATCGGAACCTCTTTTTCTGTCACATTATTTTCAGCCACTTTTTTGTCTTCTTCTTCAGCCTTATCTTCAGTTTTGTCTTCAGTCTTAACCTCGTCTTCCGTCATGTCTTTCATTTCAATGTCTTTCACATCCTCTCCGTTAGTCTTTTTCTCTTCATCGGGTTCTTGAGATTCGGTGACCTTTGGTTCGGCTTTTGTTTCGACCACTTCTTCGCCGTTACTCTCAGTTGGTTTATCGGAAGCGCTTTCGGCCTTCGGTTCGGTCTCTTTCTCTTCAGACTTCACTTCGTCTAAAGTCTCGTCAGTAGTCTTCACATCGGGTTTGGTTTCGTCGCCCTTTTGTTCGACGCTTTGGTCTTCGGTAGAGATCTTCTCAGTGACGCCATTCTGACTGTTGTCCTCGAATTCAACAAAGTCTTTGGAGGTCTCGTTGATAACCACGACCTTCTTCTTGGGCTTCGGAATGCTCTCCAATCCGTGTCGTCCCTCGTATTCAAACACTTTCTTGCGGATCAGCGAAACCATTCCGATTCGGGCCAACACTTGGCTTATATTAATGCCCTCTTTGG